TACCAAGTTTTTTCTTTAATCTCTCTCTCTCTCTCTCTCTCTCTCTCTCTCTCTCTCTCTCTCTCTCTCTCTGGCAGCATCGTGCTCTGTAGTCCAGGCTTGCCTTAAACTTACTGTGGAGTCCAGGATGTTCTCAGACTCATGGCATTTCTCATGCCTCAGCCTCCTGGGTGCTGGGATTACAGGTGTGCGGCACCTTGCTTAGCCGTTTAATCCTTACTGTCTACATTGCTACATTGTATGTTGCATGAATGATCAAGTTATTCTGACCTGCTACAGGTCAGTGACTCTCACAAGTATGATTCTATCAAGAACTATTAGTTGGTTAGGGTGGTTTATGTTTGTACTTTCAAGAACTCTAGGAGGTTGAAACAGAAGGGCTGCAAGTTCTAGCTGTCCTTAGCAACTTACTGACTTAGCAAGAACTGATTTTTTAAAAAAGACACATAATCCAGTGTCAAGGCCCAGGGTTCAAGCCGCAATAGTAACCAACCAGCCAAACAAACAAATAAACAAACAAAAACTGGGCCAAAACTTTTGTATATAGGACATTTTAAAGAATCTAGTCACATAGTTTTAGTTTTTTTACTTCAAAATAAGCAGCATTAATAAGCACCAAATTTAAAGACCTTACCTTTGCAAAATCTTTCCACTAATGTTTGCTATGTCTACATGGCGAAAGGTAGTTTTACTGAATTTATCCATGTGGGGGACTAAAAAACTGATTTATCATAAAGACCCTTATAAGGCAAAAAGCATGGATGCCCTAAAATATATGATTAAAGATTAAAAATAGACCTAGGAGACAAAAGTCACATTGGCCCCAAACTCCAGGTCTTTATTAGTTCATTGAAAAGGAAGGTTCATGTTAATATAGATTAGAGCAGTTTTTATGCCCATATCTTGAACTCTGAGAAGCTACTTTGAAAATAATAATATGCAATATATTAACTATTGTTATTCTCCTATTTTATTATGAAATTCAGTTTTACCTTTTTTCAATAAAATAAAAAAAAACAGGCTAAACACAGAAGGGGTTTAGATTACAAAAGCATCCTGGGTTCAGCCTTTGTCCTCCTACCACTGAATAAATTGCTTAGGTAATATGAAAAAGTGTCATTGAGCAGCTCTCCTTGTTCCTTGACTCCAAAGCTGTTCTTCCTGTATCTCCTTGCAACAAAATACCATTTTCTACTTATTCATGTTGATTTCAGATTTGACCTGTTTCAACATTAGCTACATATCAGCACCAATTTTTTTTTTTTTTTTGGTGGACCCGGGGATTGAATTCAGGCCCTTGCGCTTGCCAGGAAAGCGCTTATTTCACTGAGCCATCTCCCCGGCCCATCAGCACCAAATTTATTTCCTTCTACATTAAAACATCACAGATATCATTGTGGTTTCTAATCTTGATTTTGAGATCTGAAAAGCTCCATATGTACTCAGTTTTCTGGTAAAAGGAAAAATAAATTTGAAGCAAGGATGAACTGAATGTGTAGATGTGTAAAAATTATGTTATCCATCTAAAAACACACATTTATGTCCCTGCCAACAAGGTAGGAGGGCTCCTTCCCCCCCCGAGTCCCTCCAGCATTTATTATTGAGTTCTTGATGATGGCTACTCCTCTGGGGTGAAGACAGAACATCAGTGTTGTTTTAATTTGCATTTCTCTAAGGACCAGTGATGTTCACAGCACGACTTCATGTATTTATTGGCCATTTGTATTTATTCTATTAAGTGTCTATTCATTTTGTTGGTCCATTTTTTGATTGTCTTTTTTTTTATTTTGGGAGGTCAAACTTTCTGAGTTCTTTTTACCAACCACTATAAAAATAAATATGGAAATTCCTCAAAAATTGAAATTATGAATTTCAATTGAGCAGGTATTCTTGGTCTAGGTATCTTCCCAAAAGAATTAAAGACATAATATTACGGAGACATAATATATAGACATTATAGTGGCACAATTAATAATAGCTAAATCTTGGAAGCAGTCTATGTGTCCAGCAACAGATGGACAAAGAAAATGTGGTATTTACACACTACTCTGCCATAAAGAAAGACAAATTGAGTCATTGGTAGAAAAATGGATGTACCTCTGACAGCCACAGAAAAATACAGAATTGTGTGGTACACGGCTCAGGAATGACATGGTAAACTGTGGGGCAATAGCACCTAGGCTGTAGGAGAGGTGAACGGTTAAACAACATCCTGGTTAGATTAGTGAAGCATGCTGTGTGTGGCTGTTGTCCTTCTTTTTCCTCAAGAAAATGGCCTGGCCTGGGGCCAGTTCCTTGCTCAAACTGGCTTTTTTCTTTTACACTGATACTCTAAATAAAAGCCCGAGAAGCCTCTGTGTCAGGGATACTCCTGCCCACTTCCCTAGCACTGGTGCTCTGGGCTGAGAGAGTCCCTCTGGGCTCCAGGTGATTAAACCAAGTCTCATCTCTGAGTAACCTTTTTCATCCGTTGCGCTGGCCCTGGTCACACACTGTGACACGTAATAAGTTCATATTATATGTTGGGTTCTCATAAAGCCCTTCTGACCAAGACAGTTACCTGTGGAGAAATGGGACACTTTTATCTAGCAGGAAATGGAACATAGACCCATAAATTCTCTTCTATCAGTAACTATCTGATAAATACTCCTTTGTAAATATACTCTATATGTGAGTCCATGAAAAAAAAATCACTTTTTGTCTACATATTTTAGATTTAGAAATAAATCTAAAGGATAACTCAGCAGAAGACAATGATTGGAGAATTTTAAAATACATAATTACCAGGAAGGCAAGCCTAGGACCAAGGTTACCAGGCAACCAATCCCAGGAGAAAGTAACACAAAAGTGAACTGTGAGATAGATTCATCCAAATGTCTGAGCCATTAAGTGTCTGAGAAGAGATAAAAAATGAAAGCATTTTAATTTTGTGGGAGCCTAAGGAAATTTCCTGAAAGTAAACTGAGAGAAAATGACAAGAAAATGACAAGATGACAAAATGACAAGATGATAATGTATGCAGACAGTATTAGCTGTTTCCCGCCTTGTGCTTACCCACGTATTTCCCTGCAATCAAGCCACATTAATTAGTAATATCAACAGCTACAGTACTAGCTGGGCCTGGTAATGCAAGCCTGCAACCCCAGCACTCAGGAGGCTGAGGGAGAAGGACTGCTGTGAGTTTGATACCAGCCTAGCCTACAAAGTGAGCTCAAGCGCAGCCTAAACTGTGTAGGGAGATCCTGTCTCAAAAAAAAAAAAAAAAAAAAAAAAAAAAAAAAAAAATCTACAGAATAATAACCTCCTGTTTCAAGATTTTTCTCACTCTAATTTTATTTACACATGAGTAGAACTTTCTGAGTAAAGGGCACATTTATATCCCTGGGCACACAGGTGCATGGTGTATGTATGCCCACAAGAGTGCCTCCACAAGTCCACCTGAGCCCTAGAGCCCACCACCATACCTCCCCACGAGTCCA